TACATATATATACATATATGTATATATATATATTAAAAAAAGAAAGAAAGAAAGCAAACAAAGAAAAATAAAACATTTGGCATGTTAAGTTCTTTCTCGATGATCTTATGAAGCCTGCAGCTTTACCCTAGCTGTGGTGAATAATCTTGTGAGAGGTGAACTTATGCAGCAGGGAGCTCACCTTTGCACTCTAGTTATAGCCTCTCAGGGTCAGTCCCGAGCATGACTGCTTTATTTTGTGAGCTGCAAAAAGGCTTATTTCTCACAGCTATATGGTTCCCTGTTTCTATTTCCAGCACTTTCTTTACCTTAGGCACTTTAGGATCTTTCCCGTAGAGGGGAAGTAGTAGTAAAGTTACTCGTGACATTGTCTTAAAGATTTAAGAACTTTTCTCTCTAGTGCAGCCACTAGAAGAATGCAGTGTTTTTTTTTGTTTTGTTTTGGGGCTAATCCACAAACACACAAGTTAAGGAATACTGAAATGTAAAGAAATAACAAGAGAAGTTTAGGATAGTTAGAGGGGAAGGACGGCTGCATACCTCCAGAAACATGTACAATTTCTGCTCCGTTATGACTGGGCTGGTTCTTTGTTTTGTGATGGATATAAGGAAGTCTATCAGAGTTAGACAGGGGATGCTACATATACAGACGAGATGGATGGAGAGACAAAGGAAGGAGTGGGATTCACTACAGAAAGTTCAGTAAAACCCTAAAAGATCTTCTCATGCAACTTTTCATCTGTCTCAGGGAACATGTTATTCTGAGCTGCACTAAGTCCAGAGGGAGAATAAGGGTTCTGGTGTGGGTCAGTGGCAAAGCATATGCTTTGCACACCAAGTTCAATCTCCAGCAGTGCAAAAAGGGAGCATAAAGAAATAGAATGGACCTCAGGTCAAGAGTAAACCAAAGCTTCTAACAGAAAACATGGTTGTTCACACTTATCAGGTCATGCTATGCTTTCAACATGGAACTAAAATGTAATAATTGACAGAAGCATCACTTTCCCTTTCCAGAAACCAATTCAGTAGGCTCAGTCTTAGGAACTTTGATAGTCCAAGAGCACAAGGAACTTGAATTTTCTAACATGGTAACAGCCGTCCTGTAGTCCAGGGTAGCACTCCTGAGGTGCCTACCCACCCCACACACATTCTTTTTCTGGCTTTAATTGGTCCTGATTTTTTTGAAGGATAGTGCAATTGTCCAAACCAGTGGTGGCGAACATATGGAACATGTGCACAGCAGGCTGTATCACTGAATGGTATAGAAGGTTCACCAGCACTGGAACAATCCTTTTCTTTGTCTTTTTTTTTAAAAAAGGGCTATGACCTGTAGTTTGTATACTGCAAGACTAATGAAGATACTGTCTTAGGACTGTTTTTATGTTTTATTTTTTTCCTCAGCACAAAGTCATATATTTTGTGTCAAGGCATGATAATTCTAATGCGTTTTCAAACAAGCTTATACTATTCAACAGATAGGTATGTAGGCAGAGTTGACATTTCATTGCTATTTCTAATGTTCCAATTAAATAAGGAAATGCATTTTCTGTTGCACGTAAAAGGAAAAGAAAACTTAAGTGGCATTTAGTAGTTATGTTACACAATAACATAGTAATAGTATGTTATCTTTCTCATTTTGCATGAAATCATGATCTCCAATTTTCTCACTCTTTTCAATAGTCCTACACCTTGAAATACAAAAAAAATATAATATTGTTCATAAATAGTAATAATTAAAGGACTTGACCAAAATATTTCTATTAATTATACATTTTAATCACCAAAATCACTGACCTTTACTTAGATTTCATGAAGTTTGATATGCCTTTTTGTACTTTAGTGAAGCCACTCCTAATTTTGGAACTCTCTGAGTTTTAGTACTAAACCTTGAGTCCTGGCCAAACTGGGATAGTTGATCACCTTAACACCAGGGAACGCACTAGCTACTGTCTAACTTGTCTACTCCATATCAAATGTTTCCATTGAGTACTCCATTCTCTATGTCCTCATCTTGGCCTCTTGGTTCACTCCTAAACTCAATGCAATTGGGCTTCTGCCTCTGTTACTCAGTACACATGAAGCTTTGCAAGAATCATCAACGACTTTTAACTTTTCCTTAAGGAAACTTACCAGTCTGCATCAGTGGACCCTGCTGTTGGGTCCTGCACTGCTGATCACACCTTACCTGATGTCTTTACTACTGAGACTTCTATAGCAACATCAGTTCTGGTCTGACTATTCTTTTAAACCCTTATTTGTGGACTGCCTCCCTCCACTTAATTTTTGAAAGATGATTTTCCTCTATATTCTATACTTGATTATTTTCTTTTATTACTCTATAAATCCTCTTCTCGGCAGATCTCACACATTCTTTTGCTGTGAGCCAATTACTATAGGATGATGATTCTTAAATTTATACTTCATATCCAGATTTCTCTTCCTTGTAAACTACCTACCTGTAAAATATCTGTATGCCCTAAATGTAGTTTAGTAATGTGGAAATATTTATTTTGACATGTAATGATTTCCTAAAAAAATCCCGGGCCCAGCAGTTATTCACCTATGCCATAAACTGTAATGCTATGCTTGATTATATTCTCTTTCATCTCCATTTAAACAATTACTAACATTCAATTTTACTTCCTAAATAATTTTTAAATTGGCCCCTCTTTTTCCATTTTTATTCTCATTTCCTAAGAACTGCTATCTCTTATCTGAATCACTGACAAGCCTCTCAAATCATCACTTCCTCCTACTTTGGCTTTCAAATACTTAAGAGTTTACAGTACATGAAGCACAGTACAGTGTTTCCCACATAACATGGATACTTTTACTATTGTATTTATTATGCTGAGATACCTTTATGGATAACTTTACTATTGTATTTACTATGCTGAGAGCTATCTACTTATTTCTCTCCCCCATAAAATAGTAAAATTATGAACAGGGGAGCTATGTTTTAATTTTATATATCTCTGCCTGCCTCTGTGGCCTGTGTGTGATGTGGGCATATCAAATACTGTCCAGAGAGATGTTCAGCACTCTCTGCTTTTCCATGACTATTTTCTCCTGTCTCTTCTTCTAAAGGGATAGGACCATGTGATAGTATCTCTATATCCTCAAAAGGGCTTTGCATGTGGTTCACACTTAATAACTAGGCATGGAATGAATAATGTGTATATATTCTCACACAATTGTCTGCAATGAATTAGCGTTTTGAGACACAAATATGCAATTTAGAAGTTTCAAATCCCAAGCAATTCAAAACATGTTTTTAAAAGCCTTTAGGTAGTTTAGAAAATACTTTTCTATGTAAATATAATCAATTCATAAAGTATACATGCTAAATTCTTCTTTAATGTGTTCAATAAGTCTTTAATATTTTTATTTCTAAAAATGACTTAATCTTTGTACCACAAAAGGCCCTTTGTTTTTTGTATAATATTTGGGAATACACAGAGCCATGAGCAAAACTCAGAGATTTATCTAGCATATTTAAAATGCCATAATGATAGATTCTGGGCAGTTAAAATTTTTACATTACCTACTGTGTATGTATATAAATACATGATTTTTTTGATCACAATGATTTGAAATGGAAAACTTGGAAGGATAATTATATATTGTTTGTAATCTTCAAGCACACAATAAATGCTTAAATTATCAGCTAGGCTTTAATTTAGCTATAAGTTCAAAAGTAAACTGCAAAAGATTTATGGAAATTTAAATAAATTTTTTTACTAATTAATTTCTATTTCAGTAAAATCATATCAAGAATATGGAAAGATTTATTTCTTCTACTTCATCTCCATACTCTCTCATAGTAACAGTAAATCATCCAGACACTCTAGCTTATGAGATAACATAACTATTACATGCCAGATATTTAGTAGTTAGAGAAAAGAGATCCAGTTTTCAACATGTAGTTTTTTGACATGTGACTTAGTTCCAAATATTTAACCGGAAGGCCAAAATTGTACAGAATAAAAATTATTTATTGAAAGTCTTCACATTTATGAGAAATCATTATGTAAAGTAACAGAGATAGAACTCTATAGCATTTTGAATGGGAGACTAAGGTAAATGTAGATAATTTTAACTTTTATTTTCATCAATATTAAACTATTTGTTTATGTAACACAATTAAAATAATAGTGATATTAATAAACTATTTACAAATATTTTTTCTGTTTAATGGAGAAGTTTTATACAATAAAAATGTAACGTGATTTAAATATAGCATAGTGGGCTTCATATTATGTATCAGAAGTGTTCTCTTAAATCAAGATAAATCTTCATATTCATATGTAAATAAATGTTTATCTAATTACATAGCTCTCCATATTTTTCCTAGTTTTGAAAATATGGGAAAATAACTTGCATATTTGACTTTCAAAAATAGATGAATTGTTTCTTAGGAGATATTCTAAAAAATTTGTAAGTATTTAGTTTCAGTAAAAATTTTGATTTCATGTTTAGATGAACTGTTTTGTAAGGCAGGTAGTTTTTATTTATTTTTATTTTTATTTTTATTTTTTTTGATTTTTTGAGACAGGGTCTCACTATGTAGTTGAGACTGACCTGGATCTCACTATGTAGCCCAGGCTGGTCTTGAACTCACAGTGATCCTCCTGCCTCAGCCTCCTGAGTCCTGGAATCACAGGCGTGCGCCACCACACCCGGCCAAGGCAGGCAGTTTTTAGAAAATATTTCTGAAAATGATTTCTATTGTCTAATTATAAGTACATATAAGAAAACATCTCAGGACTCTTCATTTAGAATAATTTTCATTTTCTTGATTCAGAGGGAAATACTTTATCTACTTAGGTGATTTACGGTGAGAGACAGGGTGCTTAATTATCCTAATTTGTCCTAGATATTTCCTATAAAATGGAAGTCTCATGTCCTAGAAAACTCTTTAGTCTAAGAACAAACCAGGAAAGTTGTAACCCTACTGGGAGATGAGCTAAACTTTGAAGTTTCTTATAATAGAGCCTTACCTTAACATCATTGGTGTTCATTCTTGTTCCCTCCTTCCCCACAAATATATCATCAATATCCACGAGGATGTACCTGTCCAAGGACAGTGTCAGTCTCTTCCTTGACAAGAAGGAGATGGCATCTACGAAGATGAGCTTGTGCAGCCAAAAGTTTAAGTTGTTGCCAAAGAGAACTCGCTGAATTCCATCATGAAGCCCCAGGTCATGTATGATAGTGGCATAAAAAGCACCTTTAGAGATGGGAGGTGAAAAGTTTTCTGGTGTCTTTACTTTGGCAAATATTACTGGTTGGTAAGCTGAGTGATTAATCTGAAAAACTGTCCAGTCAGTTCCAGGTAAAGAACCTTTTTCGACCTTTGAAGACTTGGTCACACGAAGCAATGGAGAATGAGAATTAATACAACAATCTCTTACTGCAAGGTTTCCATATATGGAAAAAGGGAAACCTTTTAACTGAAAGCTCTGTAGACTCTTCTCACTAGTTTTGTGGAATCCAATAACACCCACACCATATTCTACACAGTATTTATCTAGAAGGCTTCGATTCCAAGAGTCCATGTTTATATACTTTAAAATATTCTCATAAATAATGAGAATATATTTGCCTTTAGTTTTGTCTATAAGTGCTGGGAGATCTCCTTTTCCAGGAGCAATTTCAATGTGATATTGGAATCTGCTTGATTCTAGAATCATAACTATGTCTTGACCAAGGGCTGAGTACTGGCTTTCTACAAACACCAGGACTATGGGATCTGTCCTCGAGGCATCAAAGAGCTTTGTTGTCTTCACCTCCATTAGCCGATAGGGTAGGTGTTGGAGGTCACTGCAGTCTACTTCTGAAACCATCTCAGAGAGTTCATTTTCCTGTTTGTAGCCACTGTACAGATAGTAAGCAGAAATAATAATGCTCACCACACAAAAAGTGGCAAGCAGAATCACTGTCCTTTGAAAATGTCTGTGAAGCTTCATGATAAAACTCATGTTGTGTATATTTTTTCTTGACTATTCCAGTTGATGTACCATAACAGGTAAATGAAAAGATGGTGTTTCAGCTGCTTTCCCAGTCTCAGTCAATAGTTTATGTCACCATTGCAGCACATTTGTATTGCTTGATCAAGACTTACAGAAAATATATTCTGAAAAAGAAAATAAAACAGAGTAGAATATAAAATACTCAGTACATAAAATTAAAAGGAGCAAGATTTTATCTTGCATCATGACTAGCTAGCACAAGTGGCAAACTACTAAAACTGGTAGACAGATGTAAGTTAGATATAACTTAGAACTGCTATACGTTGGGCTATCCTTTCTTTCTCCTAAATCTGGATGAGGATGCCACTGAACACAGGATCTCTCTGCCTGATACAGAAGTAGACATTGGGCTAACCTGGAATTTCTTTTAACTCAGTGAGCTTTGTATCAAGCTTTGTAGATAATATAGGTGTAAGAATACTGTGAGATTTTCTGAGGCATGCGTGCCATTTCCTGCCATCCAAATATATATCACAGAATGCATATTCAAACATTTTATATCTAATTATATGCACTAAAACTTCACAGAGGTTTGATCATAGTTTATTAAATGCCACAATTAAAACAGCAGTTTTTTTCTTTTCTGTGAATGTTGTTAAAACAATGAATGCTATCATCATATATTTATTTTAAATTCATTAGAGAAACAACCCTATATTTGTTGCTTTCATTTGAATAACCTTTTTAAAATGCAGGTACTGTTTCAGTTGGTCATTTTACAACTGTATATTTACATAGGTAGGAATTTTAAATTTCAGAGGAGTCATTTGAGTGAGATCAATGAGAGAAGCAGAACTCCTCCTGGAGTTCCTTCAGCTCTAGGTATTATGGCATGGTACCAGGCATAATGCACCAGAGCAGTTACCCACAGATTCGCTTTCTGCACCATTCTGGTTCTGCTTTTTTAGAGAGGGCTCAGTAACTATTTGAAATAGTATGAGAAATATGTTTGAAAAACACACAATGAAAACAATCGAAATGCCACAAAATGGATTATTATGTAATAGTTTCAAATGCCTTTCAAGTCTTACTGAGTTTTAAAAATTTAGTAATGTTAAAAAATAATAAAGAAATTTGTATTTCTAAAGGAAAAGGCAAGTAAAGCCTTATCACTTTGTCACTCTGCAAGGAAATATTATAGAATATAAATGTTTTAACAAGCCTTGTTATTGTCCAGAAGGCTAAGAGATAGCTGTGAAGATAACAAACATGGATGGAAAACACTGTAGTTGGTTTGCTACGTTTAGGGTTCACAGAACCTTTACTTCTTAACTGTTTCCTTTTTACCCCAGTGCTTCCAAATAAAATGATGAGCTCAGAATAAATGAGCACCAAAAAAAAAAAAACATCTAGACTTAAAATTCTGCTATATTTACCTGTTAGATAAGTAGTAAGCAATATTTTGAATAATGTATTTTTATCTTTATGAATAATATATTCTGGAATATAACCACAAGACATTTATGATGTTCATGCTATATACTTTGCCTTATAGTTTATTTATTTGAATAGTTAGGGTATCTATGTCACTCTAAATATTCATACAATAGCTAACTTTGTTTCAAAATGTTAATGCTCAGCACAGTCAGCACAGTGAATTTCTTTATAGCATTCTAACTTTGAAAGATGAGACAGTGACTATATGATAACGTATGGGCTGTGGAATAGAAGCAAATGACTGTAATGGGATGAGAGAAGAGAGACTACAGCAAGTGGAATAATCGGCAAAATGCTCTGGGGTGTAGGATATGGGCTGAACCTTGAAGGATGAGGATAATTTGAATAGACATTTGAGATATAGGAAATGCTATAGAAATAGGAATGAGCATAATTTTCAGCAAGGGACATGAATGAAAAGTACAAGGAAAAATAAATACTTAAAAATGAATTTGACGATATAAGAGTAACCAAGAATCTGGAGAGATTTGATGGCACAGCACTTCATGGTTGTGAAAGCTCACAGGGAGACATTATACTTCCATGATTAGGGGAAAAACATGTAAGAGCAAGATTTCTCGGGAATGAGAATTAATAACATGAAGGATATCATGAAGGGGTCTTGGAGAGATTAATCTGGAAAGCCAGTGTAGGTTCATTTCTTACAATGTAGTCATGAATGTTAATGATTACAGCAATGGGGGAACATGGGAGTGGGATAAGTCTGAGGGTTACCTCTACTCTCCCTGAAAAAGAACTTGGCATGCAATGTGAGGTTTGTGTGCATCATCACTCTGTCAGGACAAATGTTGTTATCAAGTGACCCACCATACTCTAGAATAAATCCAACAGAAAGGCTAGAATCAGCTCTTCTAATCTTATGCTAAGTATAGATCTGGGAATAATTTAATAAAGAAAAAAATTATCGGGCGGGGGATTTAGCTCAGGGATTCCATCACCTGCCTTGAAAGTGCAAGGTCCTGATTTCAATCCCTGGTACAAAAAAAAAAAAATTAACAGCTGATAGTTTAAATTGTAACTGTAATTATTTTGTTTTCATAAGTAACTGCACCTTTAAAGTTGTGTACATGTTTATGAGTGTAATATTCTGTAGTATAACAACAGGATACAAAATCTCACATGCTTCCATGTCTGTGTTTCAAATTGTAGCTGTGAAATGTTTGTGACTGGATATAGAATGTATTGCCACATTTTTCATTTCAGAGAGCAGCATTTCACAGTTTGCTTCCATTGTCAGAAGTGAAAGTCCTGACACTCATACAATTTTTATTTCGGATGTCACAGAGTGATGAGTATTTGCTATGTATATTTAGAGCAGATATTAGGAACTGATCAAAGTTATGTTTTCAGTTAACAGACATAAAATGATAAAGGGCACTTTTCTACTAAACTTTTCAAATTTCCTTCTGAGGCCAAAAGGAATCCCACTGTATGTCACTGAAGGTAGGATGTGGTCTACATATTTAAAGAGATAAATTAAGAGTCTCCTGTTTTCTGCAAAGTCTTTTTAACTGCACATCTCACTTGAACGTGGCCAGTTTAATTTCTGTGTGGACACTGAGATTTAATTCCCATATTACAACCTTGTGTTAGCTTTGTGTCACTGGGACAAAATGTACCCACATTTCAAAGAAAGAGAGATTTATTTTGGTTCATGCTTTCAAAGTTCAGTCCACGGTTAGCTGCCTTTAAGGCAGAAACATCATGGCAGAAGGGTATGGTAGAGCAAAGCTGCTGAGTTTATGCTTCCAGGAAGCTGAGCAGGGTAACAGTGCCAGAGTGGAAGAGGCCAGGAACAAAATTTAGTAGACAGGGTCACCCTCTATAACCCAGCTAGAGACACTCCAAACTGTGCTTTATTAATCCGCTAGGTGTCTCTCAAGTCAATCAAGTTAACAGTAAAGCATAACTGACAATGACCATATCCAGAAACAGCTACTTCCCCATCTCTGTTTCTGATAAATCTGCAAACCTCAGGATGGACTGAACTGTTGGCCTTGCTCCTTATCCTACAGGGAGTGGCACTACAGCAGCAGCATTCTTTTCCTGAGTCCTTCATGGGAGGGGCATTACTAGGACAGATACATAAAGAAAATTCTTTAATTCTCCACATAATTTCCATGTGAAATTTTCTCTGACCTTCCAAACTTAATAAGACTCAGAAGGCACACATAGTTATTGTGAAAAAAAGTACCTCTTCTTTGTCCTTATTGCTATAATTGTAATTAAAATTTTGTTTAAAGACATCCTTCCTATGAGAGTAGAAGTTCTAGGAGGTTAAAGGTAATGCATTTTTTCCCATTTTGTCCCTTGTATACGTACTCAATGACTATGGAAATTTATTGAATACAGTGGCATATTACAATGAACACAAGTTGATTCTACATTTCTATTTTATACTAATGTCACAACTTTTCAAAGGTTGTTTGTGGATATTAATATGAGTATAGTTATACATAAATTTACTGAATTTAGTGTCTAGCTATTGAATAGTAAGTAAATATGATAATAGCGGCCCAACATGTGATAAATCTGGTATCATATTATCTTTGGTATAAATATAGATATATAAACAGTATAACTTATTATTATGGTATGTATGGTATAGCATAAATATGGTATAGTAAATTCACAATCACATACTATAAACATGAATATATATATGCCATATATATGGTATAAATATATACTCTAAAGATATAAAACATCACCACAAAAATACCTATCAATTAATCATTCTGCAAGCAGTCATCAGTATCTATTGAACTGCTTTGGAATTAATGCTGTATGGGATGCTGAGGGCACCTCAGAAGTAATATTAGGAATGATTCTTGCCTCTGTAAAGATGGATTCTACTGAGGGAAATGGGACTTGTAAAACAACAGCCACGATTCTGTTGCACAGAATAACTTGTGATTTATGTGTTACAAACTATATGTTACAGGTTTCATAAAGCGAGCGGGGAGACATGAAGCTTAGAAAAGTCAGTGGCCATTTCTAAAAGCCATGGTGCCTGAGAAGGGCATTGGGATCATGGGCAAATCTTGGATGTAAGGACAGGGAGAACACAGCAGGCTAAAATCCCTGGCCAGGCTGAAGAAATAAAAGGTTTACAACGTGTTTACTGGAGCGTGAGCATAAACAAATTATAGGACACTGTGTCAAGATGAAGTTGGAAATAATATTTGGTTGAAAGAATGCTTCAGATGAATGACTGTCTTTGGAAATGGCCACGAAGTACTCGCAACCTAGAAATAGAGAGCATGAGACATAGTTGAACAGATACAATAAACATAGTGTCCACAGGTGATCTGTACAGCAAAGGAAACCAGAGTGGACAAACATTAGTAACAGGAGCAGAGAGTAAATGTTACACAGTACAATGAAGAAGTAGGAGGTCAGGACAGTCCCAGCTGAGGGTCTGCTGCAGTAATCCATGTGGGAGTTGGTATGAGTCCAGAATGAGGTAGTTTTGATTGAGAACGAAAGTGAAGAAACTCTGGGGAGGACAGCAGGAATTACAATAAGGGAGTAGCAGGCTTGGGACTAGAAGATAAAGGTGCCAGCAACAGAAATACAAAGCTTAAGATGGAAATTTGTTGCAGTGAGTGACAACACCTTGGATGCAAGCAGGTAAAATGACTAA